AGAAATGATGGAAGTTCATTTATTATGATTTGAATTTTTATGGAATATGAAATATGAATAGAGTTCATTAATTATGATTAATACTTTATATTAGGAAACAATCAAAACTTCTATGAAATCACATATTCATCAAATGAAATGGACGGTTGAGATTGGGTTGTATTGGTTGCACAAATGTCAAGGATTGTATAATAACCAACCTATATATATATATATATATATATATATATAGGGCACGTGCAAATGAAAACCGTGCATTTCTAAGAAACCGTGTAAACCAATTTCGACCAATAAAAAAATTTCCTTTTTTTTCTAATTAAATTTAATCAATAATAGTATTTCGGTCATTTACAATATTTTCTATTAAATATGGAAGTTATTAATAAATTTTAATTAAGAAACGTAATAAAGGAAATTATATAAATGGTAACATTTAAATATTTAATTATATTAAAATATTAAAATTTTGGATTTCATATATTGTCATGAGTTATAATCAGGAAACATGTCTTGATAAAACAATTGAATTATAAAATGAAATCATCAAAACGTAGATGAACAAAAAAAAATCCACAAAATAAAACAGGTTTCATGAACGTGAAACCGGTTCATGTTGCAAAGAAATTAGGTGAACCGAAACATTTTTATGGTGAACCCGTTGCATTGATGATGTAGTTAATCCTTTTTTTGTGAGAAACAAAATGAAACCGGTGCATTTTGAAAAATTTATGAAAAGGATAATGAAACAGGTTTCATGAACGTGAAACCGGTTCATGTTGCAAATAAATTATGCGAACCAAAACATTTTTATGGTGAAACCGTTGCATTGATGGTGTAGTTGATCCATTTTGTTGATGAAAAAGAAAATAAAACCGGTGCATTTTGAAAATAAATTATGAAAAGAAAAATGAAACAGGTTTCATGAACGTGAAACCGGGTCTTGTTGCAAATAAATTATGTGAAGCGAAACATTTTCATGGTGAACCCGTTGCATTGATGGTGTAGTTGAGTCATTTTGTATTTCGCTCGTCATGAACGAAGTGCATGATGAAACGGGGAAATGATTTTAATCTGCTATATAATCTTGAAGATTGTAACCTGCTCCATAATCTTCAAGATTGTAAGGACTAAATGAATGATTCCATCAAATCGGTGGTGAAATAAGAAAATTACTGTACATGAAATAGTTTCATGAAAGTGAAACTGGTTCATGGCAGTATTGAGCCTGATAAGTGAAATGGTTGCATAAGTGAAACAATTTCATGTTGTATTACAAACTTTTATGAAGTTAGTAATCGATGAAAACATTTCGTTATCTAAGTGTAACAGATCCATCTACCAGTATAATGAAAATTACGAAATATGATCAGTATTACATGGATTAGTCTGTTGATTAAATTTTGAAACCAATTTCGTTCATATAATGTAATTCAAAATTTAAAACGATTTACTCCATATAATTGAATATGGTGTGTTGTATATTTTTTTTTGATATGTTTTATTGATGGATGTGATTTAAAGTTAAAAATAATATATTGCTTTAAAAAATGAAAATAATGTCATTAATATCGAGAAGGATGTTACCAAATGTTAAATTTTGTTTACC